GGCGGCCACCCTCCACGCGGGCCGCCCGGGGCGGGCCCGCCCCTCTCGCCTTGCTCACGGCGAGGGCCGGAACCACAACCAGGTGTGAGGATGCCGGGGCGGCCAGCCCCTCGGTCGCCGAGGGGGCTGGGACCCCACGCGGCCACCCCGCTCTACCACGGCGAGAGGAGGTGCCTGGCTGCGTCTCGCAAGGGGTCCTAGGGTGGCCAGAGGGTCGGCGACCCCAGGGAAAGCTGGAGCCCGGGACAGGGCGTGCTGCTCAAAGCCAGATAGACTGTTCCTTACAAACATGACATGACATAATAAATAAGTAAGTACACAGATACATTTATTTTATTTAACTAGTTTCACTTGTCCCAAAGGTTTCACTTCCAACATCAAAGCACCACAGTCCTAATTTAATCTGAATTTAATGACCCACCTGTCTCTAGAGCTTTCCGGAAGAATGTGTGGGGAGGTGGTACCACTGAAGTCCCTTTTGGTCACTTTGTAAATGGTTACATGGGCCTTAAACTCTGAATGCAGGTATTCCTAGGTAGAGAACTGTATTTTCTCACGGACACCTCGGTGCACACACACTGTGTTCTTTTTGGGTCGGTCACCTTCCTCCCCTCCCTCCCGCCTCCCCTCCCCCCACGGTTTGGCCGACATCAATGCCTGGCTGTTTAACCCGCCGGCTCGGGGCTTAAAGATAAACGGATTGCCCAGGGAATTCATTAAAAGAACGTATTTGTGTTTTAGGTGCTGATCCTTTTAGTCTACTGTTTCAGAAACTGATAAATTAATCCACCAGATTTTCATTCTATTTTCCTTTATTTTCAAATCCTTTCTTATTTCCCGGACAGGAAAAATGTATCCTTTAATTCCTGAAAATACTTTAGAAAAGTGTCTTTTCAGTAATGTGAGACTAGAGTCAGCTAATATCTTGAAGAATGAATGATGGTAGGTGGGGTTTTTTTTTTTTTTTTGTCATGAGAGCTTAGACCTCATTTAATAATAGATTTCAATTTTCAATTTCAGTGACATTTACAGAGAAAACTTTTAAACATGATGCAAAATGTTTTTGAGAGGCATGTTGATGGCAGTCATTTTACATGATAAATGAGTACATTATTCATATAGAAGTTAGGATTGTTTGGCTGATGAATAAAAAATATAGGATATGTAAAATTCCCCAAGATCTACAAAATATCTAAACAATATAAATAGTTTGAAATGATTTGTTGATCCTAATACTTCTTTAAAAGATCAGTTCACATTTGTTATGTGTAAAACCTAATGTTCTGTGATAAGAATCTCATTTTCAATTTAGGAAACACCAAACTATTATATCTTCCATATTTAAATGATTAGGATAAATTTCCAATGTACTAAATTATCAAAGAAAATGTATTTTTAAACAAAATAGAGAAAGACTGTCATGGGAAACATGATTATTATAAAGTAAAACAACACCTATTTCAGGAATTTTAAATAATATGGTTAAGTAGAAAATGATAAAAAAAAAAACACCTTCTGGGATACCTGCTTGATTTCAGAAAATCTAAACTAATTTTGTTTTAAAAATAAAACAATAATTTGTAATAATGGTATACAAATTATATTTAAAATACT